GGGGGGGGAGTAACCTGTTTGATTTGAGAGCCAGTAAATAACCAAAGGAAATTATGAATGCAAATAAATTCGACTTCGGAAATGCGAGCCAAACTTTTTATTTACAAAGATCAAGGAATGCGACTTATCGGAAATGCGAGCCAAACTTTCTATTTGCGAAGGTCAAAAAATGCGACTTTTCGGAAATGCGAGCCAAACTTTATATTTACAAAGATCAAAGAAATGCAACTTCTCGAATATTCGAGCCATACTTCATATTTTCGATGAAAAAATGCGAGTATTTGAGTAACATGGTTAACGGCACAATATTTACTCCACAGTCCAAGTGCCGTGACTGGGCGTGCCCTTCGGGCACTGCCCGAGGGGAGGGTTGATGGGGGGCTCTGCCCCCCAACACCCCCCGGCAAACATTCTCTTCACCTCGATATGCACGGCAAGATAGAGCTTGATGCAGGTCTTCGTGTTTTACTTCTTTTACCAGTTTATTTATTTACTTAGCCAAGGGGGCACGGCTACCCTGGACCCCCCTCTTTTACTTTTACCTAAAAGGATATGCAGTTTAAGAAAGAAACGTAAATGACATGACGATGTACCTTACTGCGGAGGGCACAAATTAGCAGCAGCAAGGAGGAAACATGTCTTTGGTTTGAATCTGGGATGTTCATTAAACAATCGCACATGCCAGATACACACTTTTTTCAGTTAATAAAAGTCCACGAGTTTGTAAAAAAAATTAATATGGTCTTCAATTTTTCCACTAAATTTAGTGTGAAAGTCTAACACACCACCGTAGCACTGTTGACACACATCAGTCATTGTCACTGAGAAGAATGAGGCAGGTCACTGTAGTCTGGAAATGTGCAGGTGTTATTTGTATACTCGAAATAGCTTAAGCATTGACTGTATTCTTTGAGTAGTTAAGCAATTAAAATTTAAGCAATTAAAATAGGTTTATGACAGTAAGCATGGAAACATTTTACATAAAAATGGCTAAAATGCGAATATTTATGAACAGTAAATATATGGCCGTGTATATTTACATAATAAAGTATATGGAGTATTTTACTAAAACTTTAATGAGCAATTAAAATCTCTGCTAAACTGCCGCCTCCTGATTGGTCGTGACGTCGTGATGACATAGGTGCGCAGTACGAAAAGAACACGGTGTACGAGCTGCGCGGCAACTTATTCGTTTGCACCGAACGAGTGGACTCAGCCACTGGAGCACTGACTGGACTTAGGCTCTGAGCAGTGCTGTCCGCGACCTTTTTCCTTTATTTGTGGTGTTACCGTTCGTGTCTGCAGATTAGTTCCTGTGCCGACAACTTTAATTTTTTGTACTCTATAAGAATATCATCTTCAATTTGCCCTAGCTTACTGCGTCCAAACCGTAAAGATTAACCTAATATTTATAATTCTCAATAGATAGAAAGACCTCTAAATACATATTTTATTATTTTATATGATAGAACATTTATTTTTATGTGCATTTTATTTACATATTCGTAATAATGTCTCTCTATATTATTACCTCGTGATAGATAACTGAATATACTTTACAATATGAACGCATATGCCAGAGACTATGTCCCCAACTCCGTCACAAAATTTATTCAACACCCTAAGTTACTGTGATTGGACATGCCCTTTGGGCACTGCATAAGGGAAGGGTTGATGGGGGGCTCTGCCTCCCAACACTCCCAGCAAACTTTGTCTTCACCTTGGTATGCGCTGCAAGCTAGAGCTGAAGCTCAGGAACTCTCAGAGAAGTTAAACTATGAGGGACACTTTCTCCAATGTTTTTCCGCTATTTGTGGTGTTACCTATCTTATCTGCAGATTATTTCTTGTGCCTATGACTGTAACTTTTTGTCCTCTACAAAAAAAAAATCATCTTCAATTTGCCTTAGCTTATTGTGCCTATACCATAAAGATTAACCAATAACTGTATTATCCTTTTTAACTTTGTGCTTTGTCGATAGATACTCATTGTGTTTGAAATAGACAATTGAGCAATGCCACAAAGCTGTTACATTAGTTGATTCTGATTCTTTTTGTATATTGCTCTCTAGGAGTCCCTGAAGAAAAACAAGGAAAAATTGTCCATTGGGGATGAAGAAATATTTGGTTAATGTATGCAACTTTATTTTCCAGTATGTGGCTGCAGATCCACCAACCAACAAGGGCCTGTCCCAGTTGGTTATTCAGCTCCTGCAGTTTATGGAAGATAACTGTGGCCAAAAGGTCACTAAACCTCCAATGACAAAATTACCAGTAAGTATAATTGTTTAACCACATGCCGCAGGGGAAATTGCTCTTCTCATTTTTTATATTTTTGTGAAATATCTCAGCACATAAATGGCTCTGCTAGTGCTTAGCCACAAATGAGTCATTGGTAGACCTTGTGACCTTACCCAATTTTCCCTTTGAGTTGGTGGGAAAATTGTATTTTTTTTACCAGTGCTATGAATATCAATGGTGTTATTTTTATTATAGACATTATAATTACTATAATGTTATAAACATTAGTAACAGGAAAATAAGATAATGTAAAATATATATTTTTTTTAATCAAAGAAAAGGGCAAACAGGCGAGACAGGCAGTACTCATGATTGGCTCATTGGTGACTTAGATGAAGTGTAGCCTTCTATGTCTAAAAACAATTAATATAGTACTCACAGTGGGCATGTCATGTACACACATGCCATGCCCATCAGTATTGAGTTAACCCATTCGCCCCACGTGGCAAGAATAGATGCCATGCCCACTTTGATACACGTTTATTTATTGTATTTAAACATAGATGGCTCCACAAGTTCTTTATCACCAAACAGCCAGTTATTAACCTACCTATTTCACCTGTTTACCCTTTTCCTTCGCTTTAGGAAAGTTTTTTTTAATATCATTTCATTGTCTAAAATTATTCTAATGACAATTTAATAATCATAACATCAAAAAGAATAATAACAGTATCGATAGCAATGGTATTCATTTTCCCGCCAATTCAATGAATGGGAAAATCAGAATCGGTAACTAGGGCCTACTGATAGACTCCTTGCCGGCTGAGCACATGTGGAGCCATCTGTATGTAACAAAATTCACCAAAAACTACAGGGGACAGAACATAAATCCTGTGTGAATGGGTTAATGTAATGGTGCATTCTTCTGTAGATATATTGAGTAAGATTTATTCACCTAGTTAGTGTTTTATAAGAATTATTAATGTTGCAGTTATTGATATTTCCATTTCTTATTCTTCATTTTATATGTACGTATTTTTATAAGCTTGGATGAACTTTAAAGAAAGTTACTGTGATTTTCATAATTCTGACTTTCTCATTTTTCCAGATGAAATGTTTCCTTGACTTTAAACCTGGAGGCGGACTTTGCCACATACTTAGCACAGTTTACAAATTCAAAAGTGATCAAGGATGGCGAAGGTTTGATTTCCAGGTAAGAGGAACTCCTTAGGTTATATATAAAGAGGTAGATACCCATAGCATGTGATCAAAGACTAATCCATTGTATCAGTATCAGTGTGAATATGAAGTATTATGCTTTTAATTTTGATTTGTATTTCATGGTTTCCCTAATCCTTTTTCTCATATTATTTCTCATACACTGTGAGTTTGTTGAGATTGAAAGAAAAAGTACAAGAAAGAGTATTATAATAGTTTTCAGTCTAACAAAGTATTACAAGTTTTAGGCCCTCAGAGCCATAAACATTGTATTAGTAAGTGTTAGTGAGGAACTTCACACATTCAGATATCCAACCCTTTCTCAGTCACCATCAAGGAAGGATGCAAACATTGAACTCTTCCGGGAGATTGAGAAGTCCTTGGTGGCAAACAAATGCTGGACCAAACCTGCAGTCTATATCCACAATGATGTTGATAAGGAATTGAGAAATGAACTCAAAGATATAGTGAAAAGACACGATGGCAAGATTGTAGGTAAGTTCGTAGTGAATGAACCTGAAACCGTTCTTGCAAGTTTGATTATTAGCAAGAGATAAATCACTGGTGTCAATATTGTTACTATGAATCCTTTATTGGTGTAAATGCATGTTGCCAGAATAAAGTTAAAAGATATATACATATATTATCTTAGATAATTATATATATTTTCTAATTTTATTTCAGAAGAGGAGGATGATGCCACACACATTGTATATGAAGACCAAGACCCCTTGGATGATGAGTTTGCACGTGGAGCCATGCGTCGGGACAAGCAGACTCTGTTCCACTTTTACTATATGCCTGACTCCTATGACTCTTGGGCTGCAGGAGTTGAGCTAGACTATGATCCTCCAGAATCACCACAGTTCCCTGACCACCAGTGGAAGGTGAGTTTGGAAACCATGCAAACATTTCTCAGATTAAGGCACAAAGCCATATGCTAGTGCTAGAGGAATATGGCAAGACACATTTGCCCTCCATGTGAGTTAGCTTTCATGATTAATGTTATGTTATATGGGTTTTCAGTCATCCATAGAATTATTTAACGGATGTTTTTGTTAAAGTTTGAGATTGAAATCTGAATAGATTGTTCTCATATTTTGACTTTCCCCAGGTCTGTGCCAATTGGTTGCAAGATTTAGAGTCCTACAATGAATGGATGAATGAGGAGGACTATGAAGTAGATGAAAATGGACAGAAGAAGAAACATAGTGGCTGCCTCAGTGTTGATGATACAATGGGGCTCAGTGATCCAGATAAAAAAAAGAAAGCGAAAAAGCGGCCTCGATCTCCACCTTCTCCACGTTCTAAGAGGAAAGGGTAAGAAAACTGCCATGTTGTGGATGGGAACTAAAGATCTTTTAATTGGTCTATGATATTTCATGTTGATGCATTATCTTATGGGAAAAGATAATGAAAGTGAAAGGAACAATTTCAGTTTGATGATGAACTTATTATGGGAAGCCTGAATGTAAAATGGCATTGCTTTAGGGTGAATTTAACTGTAGAAAACCCTAAGAAAAGATTATAAGTGCATATTTTTTGTTCACATTAAAATATAATCACCCAAAGATTTACCAAAATCCTGCTCATATATTTTATAATTTTGACATGAAACCTACCCATAATTTAAATACAACATTTAAAACATTTCACATAAACAGAGCAACTATTTTTTTTTTTTTTTTTTTTTTTTTTCCCTTTCATTCCTTTGCTAATAATGATATTCATGTATAGCACAAAAAGTGATATGTAAAATGTAAAAAGTCTAAAGTTGGGACCCTGTTATGCTGAGTGGTCTGAGGTGGATAAGGATTAGAAGGATAAAGTAAAAGTTCCAGAATCTCGGTTCCATTGCCAAGTTTGTGACATAGCCCATTGATTGTTGAATTGTGCTCGCAAATCATGAGGCAACAACTGTTGTGCTCCTTCAGTTTTCATTGTATTTTTTCCTAATTTTAGAGTGTTATAGCGTACTCTCTCTATCAGAATGTTCAGATAAAATCGTATAGTGTAAAAGCTCCACCTTGTTGAAAAAAATTGTAAAGTTGCCATTTTGTTATAGTAGCATAACATTTCTTGACATGTATAATTTATTCCTAATAATATTTTCTTTTTCTTTGATAAGTTATTTCATAAGGTATTTTGTTTAGCTATAACTAGCACTAGTGTTGACCTTAATAGTGGCCAACTATTTAAACCACGCAGCAGACTTTCAGTGACACAACATACAAATATGTAAAGGGAAGAGCAATGTGTCATTTGATGATTTTTGAAATGCCATTGCAGAGGCAGAAGCAATGCTACCCCTGGAAAGCCAGTGAAGAAAACCAAGACCGAGGAGGAGGAGGAAGATCTTACACGAGATATGGAAGACCCCGTTGCCGAGCCAGCTGTCACTGAGGTTACCACTGGTTCCAAAATTCAGCCGAGCAAGGGAGGAAATTACATGGACCTTGATGAGGAAGCAGCTGATAAGACGGAGAAAACAGAAGGACAGGTAATTGTCACAGCCTTTCAGTTGACAATTTTTTTTTCTCTCTCTATGTATATGTATATGTATATGTATATGTGTGTATATATATATGTATATATATATGTATATATATATGTATATATATATGTATATATATATATATATATATATATATATATATATATATATGGAAAAACTTGAGAAGTACCACATGAACTCTAAGAATTTAAAAATGTTATACTCTTTTTATACCAAAAAAGTACCAGTTACCCCAGAAGCTAGGAAAACATCTCCAAAACTACCATTGGTATCTCTAGTGGCATTGGTACCAAATTTAATTCCAAAACTGTGAGTACAACTAAGTAGTGACAATATTATAAAGCAGTAAATTTGTCTTGTATTAGATTTTTGGACTGGCTGCTTTGGCTCTAGAGAATGGTACTTTTCATAGTATGAATTATGAGTATGCTAAGTGTAGAACAGTCTGAAAACACTTGCAGAACTACCTGATTTTCTGGTATTTATCTATTTATTTCATTTGTATATGTATTTATGTGTTTGCATTCATAGTTCTGTATATATTCTTAACATTTTATTAAAATATCTATTAACCCCTTGGGTTAATAGATTCTCTCTCTCTCTCTCTCTCTCTCTCTCTCTCTCTCTCTCTCTCTCTCTCTCTCTCTCTCTCTCTCTCTCTCTCTCTCTCTCTCTCTCTCTCTCTCTCTCTCTCTCTCTCTCTCCCTCCCCTTCTCTTTCTCTCCTTCTCTTTCTCCCCTCCCCCCTCTCCTCCTTTTTCTCCCCTCCCCCTCTCCCTCTCCCTCTCCCTCTCCCTCTCTTTTTCACTCATTCACTCAGTTAATAGATTAATTAATTACTTATATGTGCGGAAAGAGTGGACTAAAAACTCTCCTTCTATTTGTAGCCCGTGCCAGACAGTGAGGACACAGCCACAGATCAAACCCATCACATCATTGTGCCCAGCTATGCTGCCTGGTTTGACTACAATGCCATTCATGCCATTGAAAAGAGAGGGCTCCCAGAATTCTTCAATGGCAAGAACAGGTCCAAGACTCCTGAAATTTATTTGGCATACAGAAACTTCATGATTGACACTTACCGGTAAGTTTTATCCTCTTTAGTTGGAAAGTATGACTTTTGATGCTGAGCCTACTTGTGTACCCTTTTGTTGTGGTGTATATTTTATTGATTAGCGAGGGAGTATGTCAAGAATTTTCCCCCTGGTTCTGAATTGAATGTCCACTGCAGTGGTAATCCCATGGGAAAATAATTAGAAGTAGAGTTTAGTTTCTCCTTGCAACATAAAGTTACTGGAAAGAATTTTAAGCCAGTAACAAGATTTTTCTCTTGCATATACTACCAAACGTTACCCAAGTATGAATTTTATATATATATATATATATATATATATATATATATATATATATATATATATATATATATATATATATATATATATATATATATATATAATACAAGCAATGCATATAATTAAGCAGGCAGTTGATAGACTTCCTCTAATATATCCCACTGAAATACTAGTATATACAAACTCATGTTTGCTCTGTATTTGTATTGGACTCTTGCAAGAAAAGATGTTTTTCTTTGGAAAGAATTGCAGCTTCTCCTTGTATGAAAAGATGAAGAAAGTTGAAAGAAGTTCCTGATGATTCAGAACTGTGGGTTTGGAGTTGGATGTGTAATACATACGGCGAGGAAGTTGTAATGTATATATTAGACCTCTGAATACAAGTTTTTTATAGTCTCATATTTGTTCATTATGTGGTGTACATTTGTGTGATACATTACTGTTATGAGAGAAGAAAAGTCTTTTATATTAAAATATTAAAATGTCCAACACAGACAGTAGAAGACCTAAGAAAAAGGGTTTAGTTGGAGAGAAAGGGTTAAAGAATGGAAGAAGTCAAATCTTGTTACTGTACATGGCATGCCAAGAAACAGGCTGTAAATAAAATGGTGAAGGGAAGAACACATACAGTTCACAAATACTGTGCTGGAAACAGTTGCATATGCATTCCTTACAATGTCATCAGGTCATTTTCCTCTTCCCAGCAAAGTAGCAGTGATGGCACCTTCTATATTTGCTGTCAGGGCTCTTCCAGATATTATGGGCATTGTTGCCTCTCAGCTGTCTTTATGGTAGTATGAGTGAACATCACAAGACTGTGGTTTCAGGCAAGCGTGCTTGAAGTTCTCAGTGAAACCTAAATCAACCTTTGTCAAAGTCAGGCTGCATCATCAAGCTGTCCACAGCCTAGATGTTGGTGACCACCAGGTTGTACAGGTAGAAGACCTTTTACCTGGCAGTATATGTCTGGACAAGCTGTTCACCCAGATTCACACACATCTTGTAATTGCAGATGCACCAGGGCTTCAGGACCATATTGTACCATTTGATGCAAAGCACAGCATTTCATTTATGTGCACACTTAGCGTCACAACCAGCGATGATAGTCCACATGTCATGCATTCTGTGTTGCCAAGTCCTATGACATATATTACCTTGAAAGTGCATGATGCTGGTGCCATTAGTTTACTGGTCCTGGAGGTGGTGGAAAAGGGTTGTTGAACTTTACCAGTATGTAATTCATACCCCTTTCTGAACAAACCTGCCACTTCCATGTAAGTTAGGGACAGTAGGCATGGAGGCTAGCTGGTTGCCCATGTCCTGGCCCATGTAAGTGTATCTATAACCAGAACCAAAACCTGAAATTGTTGAAAGCTTTCAGTCTTTCACCCCAAATGTCACCCACTTGATTGAATTTTCAGTCAGAAATCTGATGAATCCCAGGAACCTTAGAGAGACTTGTTTACCATGATGATCTGGTCAGTTCATGAAGACCTCAGAATCTCTGCCCAGCATATTGAAGAATGGAAACAGTGTCTGGAGGCAGGTGTGCACTGGGTACTCTGTAACATTGTTGGTTAAATGCAGATTCACCATCAGACACTTGAAGTGATTGTGAGGCAAGGTATCTTTGTAGGTGGCTGATGAAAGAATTAGTCCAGGGCTTTCAGTACTCCCCCATCAGCAGGAAAAACTCAAAGTAATAGTACAGTGCTATTCCAGCTTTCCAAGGGTGTGGAAGGGATATTAGGCTGGGAACCAGCAGACCTGAAAAGAGGAAAATACAGAATAAAAGCTGGGGAATTATGCAGACATAGATGTATGTAAAACTACAGAGACATATAAAACTATGCTGTTGAGAAACCATGAATGAAGAGATATTTACGTATAGGTCTCATGTGGCAGGTAGGCCATTAAAAAATTGAGTTGAATTATCTGTGTCTGATGATGTCTCTTCCATCTTGGCTTTCACAACATGGACAAAGCCACAATTCCAAGGAGTGTTCTCCCACCTCCTCCAGATAAATCTATTTTGGTCAAGCACATTCTCTGCACTTTTATGTTTGATAAATGGAGACAGCTTGTCTGATCCCAATATTGTATTCACATAAGACATGTAATCCTAATAGACTCGGAGTCGGAAATGAAGTTGGAGCTTGAGTTATCAGAATGGTGATGTATGGTAGGAAGTGGTCTTAACCCGATGTCAGCTGGTTTATGTGCTGTCTCCTTTAGATTTTTGTGAGTTATTTTACATACAGATGGCTCCAAGTGTGTGCTCAGCCACCAAAGAGTCTCTCAGTTGGTCCTATTAATCGATTCTGATATTCCCATTCCTTGAATTGGCAGGAAAATGTGTTTTGCTTTCTAATACTATTAGTATTGACATTGTTACCACTCTTATTGATATTATGATTATTAAGTTATTTAAATAAATCATCAAAGACAATAATAGAAATGAAGCTTTCAAAAAACTAAGGAAAGGGTAAACAAGTGAAATAGGTAAGACTAATAGCTGACTCCTTGGTGAACAAGCACTTGTGGAGCCATCTATGTGTAAAGACAATAGATAAACTTTTATCACAGTCGGTATGGCATTGTAATCTTGCCACCCGCGCCATTTGGGCTTGAGCCCTTGCTTCCACATCACATATTGAAGGCTGCCGGTCATCCAGGTCACTTGGAGGGGGAACAGTCTTCATCAGAATGAGCACCAAGGAAATATACTGTGGCATAGTGCAAGTTGAAGTGGTTTACAGGACTGATATTTGTTTTTTTATCTGTATAATCAGTCAATCAGAGCTTGACATTCTGGAAGGAATGTTACAGCTACTATAAGGAATGTGGAATAGACACTCAGAAACAATATTGTAATTGACAAAAATATTCCAAAATATCAAAAATAACACATGGTACCATCTATAATTTGTCACAGATAGTCCATCATAATGTTATGCAACTCTGCCATCAATTACAGCCATTGGAAAAAGTATCCGTAAATTGATGTAAAGAGAATCAAATACCTCTCTTTAGGTCTTGATAAAGTCTGTTTTCATTTTTCTAATAACATTACAGTAACACAATAATGCATAGACATAGTAATAGCTGGAATATGCTTTATTAATGTATAATTATTCATTCATTCATTCAGTTATGCCCAAAACAACTACATGCCCATTACATTTTTGGTAAAGTAAGAAAAAAAAAAAAAAAAAGAAGAAGAAGCAGGCGAGCTCATTTCACTTTTTAAGTGCACTAAAAATAAGGCATGGAAATATGTTTGCTAAATGTTAGGGCTTACTCATGTATGAGTACTAACTTATTAAATAGGATATCTCGTTTTAATGACCTACCCCTTCCAATTTTCAGATTAAACCCAACAGAGTACCTGACCTCTACAGCTTGTCGCCGCAACCTGGCGGGTGATGTCTGCGCAGTCATGCGTGTCCATGCTTTCTTGGAACAGTGGGGCCTAATCAATTATCAGGTATTTTATTTTATTATTTAAGTAATTAATTTATTTATTGATTGATTTTCCTTTTTCTTTTTTTCTTTTCCTTTCCCCATGGAACATTTCAAATGCTGCAGTATTAGAAACTGGAAAGTTAGTAAAGGTGTATGTTTACATCAGGCTGAAAAATCTGACTGCAAAAATATTAAACAAGTACCAAAACTAATATACTGGTTTATTTTTAGGTTGATGCAGATGCCCGTCCAACCCCTATGGGTCCTCCTCCTACCTCTCATTTCCATGTGTTGGCTGACACTCCTGCTGGTCTGCAATCCATCAATCCTCCAAAGGTATGAGTGGCACTGATTTGCCTGAGTTGTTGTTTCCTGAGACTTTGCTGTTAGTCTTATGGTAGGGTTTTGTATCAATGTACAGGATTTGTCTTTTGATGCAGAAATGGCTTAGAGATGAAATGCAAGGTTTTGATACTAGTTGACCTCCGATTAGGCCTACTTGAAACTTTAGTATTTAGTTGTTCAAACAAAAAATAATATTTCATGTTTGTTTGCAGGTCAATCAACCATCAGCAGCTAAGCAACTTATGGACTTCGACAAGAAGCCTGTAGATAAGAAACCAGAATTTGGTATTGGTACAGAATTTGGTCTGAAATTGGATCAGTATTCTAAGAAAACTGGAGCTCTCAAGAACAAGTCAGCAGCAAGTCAGGCCAGAGAATGGACTGAACAGGAAACTCTGCTTTTGCTAGAAGCCCTTGAAGTAAGTATTTGTTATAAGGAGTGTTTATTGTCCATGAAAGGAGAAAAACAACTACTCAGTCTAGGGTAGGCAAAATATCTTGAAACATTTTTGATAAAAAAAAATTCAGGGTGGTTTGTTTTTATGAAATAAATATACTCAGGTTTGTATTTGCATGATTATTTTTTATTTTTTATTTATTTATTTTTTTTTTTTCATTTAGCATAGGTTGTTTTTGTAGTATGTGAGTCGCCCTGCAGCCACATTGTCATCGACATGGAAATATTCTTATCAGTAGTTTATTAACTAATGATCAGTGAAGTTGGTCAGTGTTGTGACCCATTAAATTCATTTGAGTGTATTGCTAATTGTTTTATTTGTTTTTGTAGATGTACAAGGATGACTGGAACAAGGTTTGTGAGCATGTAGGTACCAGAACACAAGACGAGTGTATCCTACAGTTCCTGCGCCTCCCCATTGAGGATCCTTACCTAGAAGATCCCGAGGCTGGCAGTGGACCCACCCCTACGGCCCTTGGCCCTCTTGCTTACCAGCCCATCCCCTTCAGCAAATCTGGAAACCCAATTATGTCCACAGTGGCTTTCTTGGCATCTGTTGTTGACCCCAGGATTGCTGCTTCTGCAGCCAAGGCCGCCATGGATGAGTTCTGCAGGATCAAGGACGAGGTCCCGGCTGCTCTCCTTGACTCGCACATCAAGAATGTTGCCGACAACGCCGCCTCCAATGAAGGAAAGGTTGATCCCACTGCTGGCTTGGCCAAGTCTGGCATTGCTGGCACCGAACCAGAAGGCGAGGAGAAGAAGGAAGGGGAAGGAGAGGCAGAGAAGAAGGATGAGGCAAAGAAGGATGGTGAGAAGAAGGAAGAAGAAAAGAAGGAGGAAGCTGACAAGGAGAAGAAGGAAGAAGCCATGGAAGTTGACAAACCAGAAGAAAAGAAGCCTGAAGAG